GGGGGCAGGCAGTCAGCTAGCTGAGCTGGATTCCCAGCCAAAGAGCTTTGTTTCTGCTCAGCATAGTCGATGTCCTTATTCATTCAGCAGCGTTTATTAAGCACCTTCTGTATGTCCTTAAGGGAGACCCTCCTCCTTCAGAGAGAGGGCAAGCGAGGGAGAATTCCTTGCCAGGAGGCTGGCATCCTTAAAGAGCTCTTGTTGTCAGAACCTTTTCCTCTCTGACTGGAAGCACAACATCCGCTGGAGCCCCCCCTCCCCCCTCCCGTGGGAGGGAGGCGACAGGAGATGGGAACAGAGAGCGTTAACATTGAGTGCAGCGAACCGCAACCTCCAAAGGAAGGCAGCCGTTTCCTCTTCCATTTTGGAAAGTGACAGCTGACACGGGCCAGACACAGACGGTTTTGGGTTCTGAGGTTTTAAAGATTCTCCGAGTCCTTTATTCTACATTGCCTCCCTGCTGCCCGTCATTATCGTCATCCTCACAAGCAAATGACATAAGGCCTTTTGATCCTCACCCAGTCAGGCAGATATTAAGCCCTAGACACAAGTGAACTTGTGATATGGGCGAAGGGAGGGCTGTTGGCAACTTAGTCCTCTGCTCCTGAAAACAAAGCATCCTGTCTCCTGTCCAAGACTCCCACCCTCCCTGTGGGTGTGGAGCCCCGGCTGCTAGGCCAAAGGGAAAGCCCTGCAGATGGCGGAGGACTTGCTCCAGGGTGTCGTGGAGCAGGATTGAGGGGTCAGAGATAACAGTGCCCTGGGGAGAACCTTCACGTCCGTCCCCAGGCCAGCGTGGGCAGCCCCCTCATTTCCCCATGTCTCTGGGAACAGCTCAACGCTCCCCTGTAAGCGCTGGGCCGTTGGAAATTGCCCTGCTGATCTGGACCTTAGCTCCTTTTTGTAAGTGGACATTCCAACAGGTTCTGCCTCCTAAAGTGCCAGTGAGGAGGGCAGTGCCGACCAGGGCCTGGGGCTGGGTCTAGTTAACACCCCCACTGGACCCTCAGCAGGGGATTTCCCAGAGGGCTGGTTGGCTTGGCACTGACGAGCACCCTCTCCCTCTCTGCTCTCCTCCCCTTCTCTCTCTCTAGGGGACACTACACAGAAAATGAGAACTGCTCACTATCCTACCCCAGCCGAATTGGATGCATATGCTAAGAAGGTCGCAAACAACCCACTGACTATAAAAATCTTCCCCAACAGTGTGAAGGTTCCCCAGCGGAAACACGTTCGTCGTACTGTGAACGGCCTCGACACATCAGCCCAGCGCTACAGCCCCTACCCGACTCAGGCTGCCACCAAGGCCGGCCTGCTTGCCATTGTCAAAGTGCCAGCCAAAAGCATACTCAAGGACTTTGACGGCACCCGAGCCCGGCTGCTCCCTGAGGCCATCATGAACCCCCCAGTGGCACCCTATGCTACTGTGGCACCCAGCACTTTAGCCCACCCCCAGGCCCAGGCTCTGGCCCGCCAGCAGGCCCTGCAGCATGCACAGACCCTGGCCCAGGCTCCTCCCCAGACGCTGCAGCACCCTCAGGGTATCCCGCCCCCCCAGGCGCTGCCCCATCCTCAGAGCCTCCAGCAGCCTCAGGGCCTGGGCCACCCTCAGCCCATGGCTCAAACCCAGGGCTTGGTCCACCCTCAGACCCTGGCTCACCAGGGTCTCCAGCACGCCCCCAACCCCTTGCTGCATGGAGGCCGGAAGATGCCAGACTCCGATGCCCCCCCGAATGTGACCGTGTCTACCTCAACTATCCCCCTTTCAATGGCAGCCACCCTGCAGCACAGCCAGCCCCCGGACCTGAGCAGCATCGTGCACCAGATCAACCAGTTTTGCCAGACGAGGGCAGGCATCAGCACTACCTCAGTGTGTGAGGGCCAGATCGCCAACCCCAGCCCCATTAGCCGCAGTCTGCTCATCAATGCAAGCACCCGTGTGTCGACCCACAGCGTCCCCACACCAATGCCTTCGTGTGTGGTCAACCCCATGGAGCACACCCATGCGGCACCCGCCGCGCTGCCCGCTGCAGGCCTTGTCAACCTGCCCACAGGCATCTCTCGAGCCCCCACGGGCTACCCAAGCGACCTCAAGTCAGTCGCCTGGAACCAGCACCAGCTGGCCCACCTACAACAGATGTGCAGTGAGGCTGGTGGGACGCCGGTAGCCCCTGGCCTGACAGGCAAGCATGCGGCAGGACGCGAGCTGGCAGGGCCTGGCTTTGTGGGCAAGGCTCCTGCCTACCCGCAGGAACTCTGCCTGGCGCAGTCCTTCCACCTGAAGCCGCCCCTGGAGAAGCCAAGCCCATCCCCACCAGTCAATGGCCTGGCAGCCCCATTGGCCTACCCCAATGGTCACTACTTCCAACCCCTGTGGAACAACATTCTTCCCACTCCCAATAGCGACAGCTCGGGGTCTCAGGACCTCACCATGCCGTTCCATGGTGGGCAGCCCACAGGTGCACCCCTCGACTGTGCTGCAGCTGCTGGGGCCCACTACCGAGCAGGGACCGGGGGCGGCCCAGTGGCAAGCCAGAACAGCTTGATGCAAACCGTGGATTACCTGAGTGGGGATTTCCAGCCGGCCTGCTTCCGAGAACAGAGCCTGGCCATGCTGAGCAAGGCCCACCGTGCCCCTGGTAACCGTGCCCCTGACCCCACAGATAGCCGGAGTCTTCATATCCAGCACCCGGGGTATAGATAGGGAGCTTATCCGGCATAGACTGCCCTCCTAGGTTTAGTCTTACTTTTGAGTAACTGGATAGGTTAACTTTTTTTTTTTTTTAACTGCTCCAGTGTGATCACTCTTAGTTGTCTGCAACAGGGAATTTGGAGGGATCTGATTGAGGGCAGAGGTGGGTCCTCTGTCTCCTCATCCTCCCCTCTATCAGCTCTTCTCTCCACTTCCTGCCTGTCAGTCCCTCTATCATGGCCATCTCCCTGCAGCTGTGCTGTTGTGTCCTGTACCTCTGGCCAGTGCCCCTTAGGGTTGAGGACACATCTACCGAGGTGAGGTAGTTGGAGGTTACAAGCTTACCCTCCCCCATCTGTCTTTAGGATGGAAAAGCCAGACATTCTGAATCCTCTGGGAGCCAATTTCTTATTTACCCAAAGATCTTAAATCAAAACCAACTCATCTTCATCCCCTCAGCCCTTTCCTCAAAGCTTTGTGTTGCATCCTTACTGATCTCAGTGCCACTGCATCTGCCCTTGCCATGTCCTTGGGCATCCTGCAGACAGTTAACCATAGCCTTGAGACATGGAACTAGGTCTTCAGATCTCCCCTCCCCAGCCCTAGAGAAATGAAGTTCTGGAGCCTAGAAACCCAGAATTCAGAGGCTCGCCGAGTCAGGCCCTGTCTGAAGCCTCCTGGAAGAATCCCTCTTTTGTTTCTTCTCCTGGCTGGTATTTGCTGGCATTTCCTTGATGGTCCTTGGCTTATAGCTGGACACTCCATCCATTGTACTGCCATCCCTTTCTCACTGTGGCTTCTCCCTTCACTGTCAGCTGCCCTCATCGCCCGCCCAAACCCTCCTTAAAAAATACTTTAACAAGCTACCTTAACATGAGGAATAGTAGGTAAGGGGTGATCACACTGGAGTCTGGAATTAAAAACACCAAAAAAAAAAAAAAAAGCATTTGGTTCTCTCTCCACTGGCTAATTCCTGCTCTACACTGTCAGTTCAACTGTTTATGTACGAATGTAGTGTGGGTTTGAGTAGCATTGTGTGTGAGCGGGCCCCACAGGTACACACGCATCCTCCAGCCACCACAGTCACAGCCCCTCAAGTTTAAATAAGACAGGAGGGAAAACACAAACACAACGCCTTAAGCTCTTTGAATTACTCCTTTACCAAATGAGCATGGTTTTGACCACTGGAGATGGGCCCACATTGGAGAAAGCCCCTCCTGGCCCCGCCCCTTCTTAGAGCACACCCCCACCCCATCCATGCTCCCCATGGTCCTGCTCCAAATGAAAACTAGTTGGCTAGAGATGTCAAACTCTGCTGTAAACTTGTTTTATTGTAAATGTTTGTACCCTTCTGTTAAAGATACATCCTTGGCCTTTTTTCTTTTCTTTTTTAAAACGAGCCCTGACCCATCCTCTTGTCTCTGGGGAATGTGAGCTGATGTTATTTAAAATTTTGGATTTTGTTTAGAATACTATCCACTGTTCTTTAGCCAGAGATTATTTAGTGACCTGAAGCAATGTGACTGAAGACCAGTTCTTAAATTATGTGTTGGCAAATTGCCTTATATTTAAAAAGAAAAAAAAGAAAGAAAAAAAAAAGCCTGGTTGTGTTATGCCAAATGATAGCAACCCAAGGCCCTAATTTATTGTCCCCATTGTTTCCCTGCCAGCCCCTCTGGCCCTGAGCCTCCTGGTGTGGCCTCTGCTCTCTCACCCGGCCCTTCTCAGAGCCCTGCTCCACAGGCGTCATCCCCAAGCTGGCGCTTTTGCTGTCAGTTTCCCTTCGAGACGCCTCTCCCTGCAAGCGGGGCTGCCAGTTTAAGAAATTGGACTGTCCACCAACTTGGGGGCTTTAATTCAGACCACCTTAAACCCACCTGCCCACTCCTGCCCCTAGTCTGCATGGATAATGTACTGTGATCGCCCCGCCCACTGCCCTCACCTTTGTAGTGAGCGGTTTCCTAATTCACCCTGAGCACCCCCTCAGCCAACCCCCAGCCAGCAATAAGGGTCCAAGCCAGGACCTCCTGCCCACACTCCCTGCCTTCATCCTACTCGACCCTTGGGGGACTCCCCTACTCACTGCGCACACTGTAGCATTCATTCACCATCTCCCTCACGTTCTCACCTGTGGTGGTTTCTGGGTGTGATAGGGATTTTAAGATTATAAACCAGTAAAAAAATGAAAAACAAAAAAACAAACCTTCCTTTTGACCTTGGCCTATTCGTTGAATCCTGTGTCTGAGGTGCTTTTCTTAGTTTCATAACAAGTCAAGTCCTTGGCTAGAAGGGAGTGAGTGTGGTTTTGAAGAGGGCCCACCCCAAGGTCCCCTTCAGTCCATTACCCCAGACCCTGGGGCACACAGGAGTCATCACCCATTCCCTCCCTCTCTTCCACCAGGAGGGCAGCTCAGAGCCCTACCCAGACAAGGCTGCTGGGGGGTTGGGGGAAGGGGGTCTTCCATGGGTAAACATGCCCCTCAGGATGGCTGCTTTATCCTCAACCTGAGGCTTTTTTTACTAACCCACCACCACCTCCACCTCTTGGAATTTCTGAAGACTGTACTAGAGATGGAGGTAATAGCTGCGATAGGCTTAACTGAAAACTGGCTGCTGCTTAGAAGCTGCTCCTTGTGTTGGGATAAACACTGTTCATCATGCCCCTCCCTTCTGCTAAGGTGGGGTTTGCGATGAGAAGGTAGGGAGGAAACATCCTGGATCACAAGCATGGGCAGGTGGCTTCTGCCATGCTGATGGCTTTCAGGGCACATACAACCCCTTCTGGGTGTGCCTTTCTCTGTGGGACACCCCTAGGGGCTTAGCCTCCTTTTCCCACTATCATTCATGAAGGCTGGCCGCTTCCTGCCTGTGTTGGATGAGACTTGAATCCGAGACCACAGAGCAAACCCCAGGAGTTGAAGCGATAGTGCCCAGCCTCAAGTTGGGGTCTTGAGGTAGACACTTTAGAAATCTGCACACATTCTCATGGGGAACGTGGCCTGTAGAGTTCCACAAAGCACTGTTGCAAGGGAGGTCTGGGTCAACGGCAAGGCCCCATTGGCGTAGTCCTAGGAAGGAAGCATCCCTACGGGAATGTGCTGTGGCTGTGCAGTGGTGCTGTCCTGGCAGCAGAGGGGGCCATGCTTGACTATAGTGTCTGGCTTCCCTGGAAGACCCTCCAGAAAGGTGGGCCACCTGTTGTGAGCACACCGCTGAAGCAAAGGTGTCTGCTGGGCCAGAGCCATGGAGTCCTGGGTCCCACCAGTGAGGCTGACCCTTTTGAAGAGCTGCCTGAGAGAGTCCCCTTCAATATTTTTGTTGGAGGAGTGGTGGCAAGAACTGTAGCGCCCTCCACCTTCTGACAGTGTTAACATTGCCCATCCATTGGGCGCCCTGTAGGCTAGGCAACAGTAGGGCACTTTATGCTGATTAGCTCATTGGATCTGTCAAATCGAGGGGGTGGGCCTATTTCACGTGGCTGCTAGTGCTGCGTGGCAGCTATTATCAAACCAGAGAAATACCTGCTTAGGGCACAGATACCAGTCATGGGTGGGGGACTCCTGCTTAATAAAATGTCCTCTCAGGGCAATCTTTCCATGTATCAGCAGAGGGCGACATCAAGAGACTGCCACACAAAGGCTGATGCAAATTTCGTTGTCTTCCACTAGAGGGCAGTGCAACCGTCCCGAGACCATGCCATTGGAATCAACAGGTCTAAGACCAGATAAGTCAGACCAGATCCAAGTTAATAAATACAATTCAGGATTTATTAAAAATCAGGAACACACCCCCCCCCCCACCGTGCCCTCTGGTACTAAGCAAATAAATAACCAGAGGAGCAACAGCTGGGGAAAGAGGGCGTAGAATCATTTCCAGACAGGCTCCCAGTGACCCCCCCACTTATGGCTCTTGGGATGTGGCACCCACTGACACCTCAGTCCCGAGTAGAGTGGCCGGCAAACGGCACGTCTGCCCTGCCCAAAAAAAGCCCTGGTATCACTTGTTTCCAGCCCTTGACTCTGACCTGCTGTCCCAGGGACCAGGGCTGAAGCACCAATTGGAGGCACCTGAGGGTGGTAGGAGGTGGTCGGTGTATGTGTGTGTGAAGAGGAGGAGTGGGGTAATAGAACCTGGGCGGCGGCGGTAGCTGAAAGGGGGTCCGGCCCCTCCAGAGTCGGCCTGTGCCCGGCAGGTCATGTTTCCCCTGGAGACCCCCTACCCTCAGCTGAGGATCTTCCGGGGCAGTTCAACCGAGGCCCGGATGAAGACTGCGTCATCCCGCACGTAGTTTCGCTTGCGGATGTCCTGGTGAGAGATGAACTTGGGGTAACCAAAGCCCAGAGAACTCTCGTCTAGAGAGCCCCGCCAAGTGCCTGGCTTCTGGAAGTTCTTCCAGTTTGGGTCAGGGTGGAAGGTCTCCGTGACATGCTGTGGCTTAGCCAGCCCAGGGTCACTCTGATCCAACAGGGAGAAGGTGACACGGCGGGCAAAGGGCCACTCCAGGAGATTGTCGAAGGCGCCGGGCAGCACTCGGATGTAGAGGGACAAGTGCGTGCCCTCGCCACTGCCGTTACCATTGAGGAAGGCGGACACTTGCAGCTTGTAGCCATACTTGTGGGTGTAGAAGGCTGGGCTGAAGCACTCCAGGTTGGGTTTGGCCTTGGCCTCCTGCAGGCGGCGCCCGTAGCTGCCAATCTTCCAGATGAGCATGCCATCACTGCCCACCGACAACTCCTCCAGCTCCCGGCGAAGCTCCTGCAGCTCCTGCCGCTGTCGGCTCACCAGGGCACACATCATGGCTAGGTGTGGCTTCACACTCTCCTCCACGTGCCGTGCCATTGCCACCTTCGGGCACTGTGTGCAAGGCCACAGGCAGAGGGGGAAGGAAGGGACATTGTCAGAGGGGCTGGCCCAGGGGGATGGGTGGTGGTAGCTACCGGTTGGCTGACCCCCAGCTGAGTAAGGAAGATTGAGGTCCTGGGAGGTGCCCGCCACGGGCCAGCTGGGGGCCGGGCAACAAGCTTCAGAGCAGCACAGCAGTAGAAAGCTTGGCCAGGCTGAGGCACCGGGGAGCAGGGAGGAGGCGGATGGAAGTGGGACATCTCACCCTGTGCTTGCAGCCGGAGTCTTTGAAGGGGCACAGCACCAGGGCGGTGTTACAGCTGTCTTTCAGATGGCCTGGCAGGTCCTCTCGAGCCACGGTGCCCACACCGCACTGGTTAGGACAGGCTACAGGCAGCCTTGGGCACTGGTACTGGTGGCTCTGCCAACAGAGAGGCAGCAGTCAGTTGCTTGACTCCCTGCCACCTGCCCTGCAGCCCAGCTGAGGAAGGGCCTCACCTGGATGGTGTCGAAGACAAACTCCTTGCTGCAGTAGGTGCACGGCTGAGTGCGCTTGGGGCACTCAGAGGTGGCATGCTGGGCCAGCAGCCGCCGCATCATGCGGGCACCGCACTTGTTCTCACAGTACACACTCTCCTGTGGGCACATGCCCTCATGGGTCTGGAAACCAGAGGGGCTGAGCTGCTAAAGGATCCTGGGCCACCCACCAGGTGTGCCACCTGCCCTTAGTCTCAGCAGGTGCCACTTACCTCATAGGCCTCCCCACTGAAGTCACAGCCACAGAACTCGCACTTGAGGCGGCGCTTGGGGCAGTCATGCTGCAGGTGCGCAGGCAGATCCCGGCGGCTCAGCTTGGTGGGGCAGCGGTTGGGGCAGGGGACCACGTTGAAGCTGCAGGTGTTCAGGTGGGCCTGTGAGGAAGGGCTACAGTCAGTACCCGCCAAGGGAGAGTAGTCCACCCGGCAGCCCCAAGTCTCACCTGGAGGTGACGAAGGGGCCCGCTCCAACGGCAGCCCTCCTCACTGTGGACACAGCGGATGGGCAGGCCCAGCACCTGCACCTCCAGCTCGGGGTCGGGGTAAATCTAGGGACCAGGGGTGGCTGATCAGGGCCAGAGCCAGGCTGCAGCCCCCCAGGTGCCCTCCTCCCCGCCAACTGGGCTGGCTCGCCCTGGGAGCCGGTAGTAGCCACACTTGGGCTGTTTACCCCTCTGTGCGCAGGGATGGAGGACATGGCAGGTGGCACCTGCTCTGGATCTCCGGGTTCCCCAACACAGCTGCTCACACACTCTCCCGTCAGAGCCCGAGCCAATCAGCCTGGTCAGTCTCAGGCTGCCCACCCCCCAGCTCCTACCACCCCCCACCCCGCTGCCCTGTTGCTGAAGGGATTCTGGCCCTTGGCCACTGGAAGGGGAGCGGAGCACATCTTACGGGCACAGAGCTGCTCTGTGCATCCCCACAGGCTGGACATTGTGCCTGCCCACAGGGCAAACCTTTGCAAACTGGCCTGGCGGGAGGAACAGGACCACCTTTGTGGGGGACTGGTGATCCTGCAGGGCTGGGTTGACATTGGTTCTGGGCCTGCGCCAGCCTCTACCAAGGGCACCAGCCTGCACCTGGGCCCCTGCCTGGCCTGTGGACTCACCTTGGCATAGTCTAGAGGAAGTTGATCCTCAGGGCATTTGAAGACGCCTTCACTGTGAAGGGGGAGAGACAGGGTCAAGACTCCACAACTCCACACTATAGGGAGAGCCCTGGGTCCCACCCCCCTCAACCTGGGCAGTCTCCCTCCCTTCCTGGCCAGACCGGTTCCCAGCCAGCCCTACTGAAGGACAAGGGGCAAGCAGAGGCCTGAGGGCATTTCCTCAGTACCCCCAAAGATCCCAGCTCCCAATCCTGGGCCAAGGGGTAAAGCCAGCTGCTTCAGGCAGCATTTGGCTAACAGGTGGCAGCTGGACCGTGAAGGAACAGGCTGCCCAGTCATCCCCTTCTCCCAGGTTAGTTCCCATTGGCTGTGGGAAGCCCAGGGGGCGGGAGAGCAGGAATGGGCTGAGTGTTAAGTGCCAGGGCTGCCCAGCCCCCATGAGTGCCTGGCCAAGAACCTGGGCAAAGGTCATCTTGCGGCCACCTTCTCCCATACCCCTCCTCCTGTATGAAGGTGTGGCTCCCAAAACAGAGAGCCTGAAAGGCCCGGCTAGTACACACTGCCACCCAGCCCTGGGCACTGCCCGAGAAGGGTCATTCTGTAGGTGACTGGAGGCTCAGAGGCCAAGCAGCACCAGCGTGGGGCAGGCCTGACCGAGCAGCTCAAGGGGCCCTCCTCCACCCACAGTACAGAGGGGTCCAGGAAAGCTGTCCAGAAAGTCTGCCCTGCCACTCTGGTCAGTGTCCAGCAAGGACACGAAGCTTGCTGACCTTGCCCACCCTGCCTACTGTCCTCTTCATCTACCCCCACCCCAGGCTGTCAGCATCCAACGAGCCTGCTGGTATGTCCCCATGCAAGCCAACGTGGCCTCACGCCCTGAAAACGCCCAGGTGAGGCCGAGGGCCCGGCAACCCTGGCAGGTTTGTGGAAGCCTGCCACTTTCTCCGAGGTCGGAGCCACATGCTCCAGGGCCCCCGGGTTTCTAGCCAATGACCCACAATCACGGGTCATGGCTGAGACGCCCAGCACAATGCCTGCCCAGGCACTGAAGAGGTGTGCACACCCATGTCCCCACAGGCAACCAGCCTCCTGGACCATGCAGAACAGTTACCCTGGCAGGGGCTGGCGGGGAAAGGGAAGGGGGAAGGGGACGCGGGGTGGGCCAAGGGGAAGAAGAGGCCCACTTGGCTGGGCCAGGAATGTGCTGACTTAAGTGGTTTTGAAGACAGGGAGGGAGGTAAGTTCCCAGAATGCTGGCAAGAGCTGAGCCTGGGCAACACGGGGCCCAGCCCTACAGAGGATGGGCCCCAACTATGGCCACCCTTGGTTGTGGGATCGGGTGGCGTGGCGGTGGTGAGGCCAGGCCAGGCAGTAGGGGCCCTCAGCAGAGTGGGGGAGGAGGAGAGGCAGGGCTGAAGCTGCTCCAGGCAGTGGAGGCCCAGGGGAGAAGACAGGATGGGGGGAGGGTTCAGTGGGAGAGGAAGAGGGGATTTCCGGGAGGGGGAGGGGAAGGACCGGTCCCAAGAGGGGCAGAAGAGAGGGGGAGGAGGGACAGCAGCAGCCTGACAGCCCCCTCCTTCCCTTCCCGCGGCCAGGCCGGGTGGGTTAGCTGGGGGAGGGGGCCTCAGCTGGCTTCAGTGGATTGGGGCAGGGCTCGGAGAAGACAATGGAAGAGTGTGTCTGTCGGGGAGTAAGTGTGTGTACACGGGAGGGAGGCGGGCCGGGAGGGGAGGGGACAGCAAACAAAGGGCGGTCGAGGTTTCAGCCAGCTAGGGGCTGCACCAAAGACAGGGTCCCTACAAAGGTTTCCCCCGCCTGTGCCCCTCAGGCCCTTCACTCTCCAACCAGGGCCTGCAGTTGACCTGGCCACCTCTGTGTGCTGGGGACACGACCTCACCAAGCGCGAGGACTGCTCAGTACCCACTCAGCAAACCCCAATCTAAGCAGTGCCCAGCGTGGCCGTAGTCTCAAATCCCGCCGGGGCGCCCGGAAAGTCAGAGGATGTCTAGGAGCTATGGGGTGCCCTGTTTCTAAAGAGAGAGGGCAGGGGGCGCTAAGGTGTACCAAGACGGCGACCCACTCTGGCGACTTATTGACCGTCCATCAAGACCTCTGGAGGTGGGGAAAGAGAGGGGGAGCCATTCAAAGGCTCCTTGCTTCAGGGGCGGGGGAGGGGTGGCACGGGGTCCTAAATCCTTCGCCTTGTGCAAACACAAGGTCTCCGACCCCCTTAAGCCTCTAGGTGACCAACTGAGTGACCCTGGGCAAGTCGCAGCCTGTCTTTGCTTCTGCAGCTGAGACGGAGAACAATGGGGGCCGTTCCTGGACTGCTCGAATCTGAGCGCTTCGACGGCCCGGAGCTCGGGGAGGGGGGCGGGGCGGAACGTTGGGTTTGGTTCCCGGTCCCCGTTCCCCCATCACATTCGAAGTTGCAGAAGAGGCCGCGCAGGCTCTCAGGTGAGGGGGCAGGGCCGGCCACGGGTCAGGAAGGGCGTCTCTTCCCAGCTCGGTCCCAGGAGAAGGCACCGAGTCCTTCCCACCTGGAAGGGGGTGGAGAGGCTGCCCCCGCCCAGGACCCTCCGGACTCGGGCCCAGGGTGCTCCCCGGGTTCTGACGTCACGCCGCCCCTCGTGACGTCACGGCAGCAGCCCCTGAGGTCATCCGGCCGCGGCGCAGACAAAAGGCCCCGAGCGCCTCCGGCCTGCCCTCCCCGCCACGCCGCGCCCCTCCATCCCCGCCGCCCCCGGCCCGTACCTGAGGAACTCCTGCAGGCAGGTGTCGCAGAAGCGGTGGCCGCAGGTAGAAACCTGCACGGGCTCGCGCATGGGCTTCCCGCACAGCGGGCACAGGAGCCGCCGCTTGGGCTTCTCCAGGAACTTGTAGTCGAAGCCGGGCATGGCGGGCGGGCACGGGCGAGCGGGGCCCGGCGCGCGGCGGCCCCCCAGCC